CGGGGATAAGCAAGTTAGCTATGAAAAAATGTCGATCATTCAATGAGTCACTTTGTAGGCTTCTTCTTGTATTATTTTGCAGCCAGAAAAGTCCTAAGTAATGCAGTTACCGAATTCGGCAACGGTTCATTACCTCCATCCATATCCATTAGATACTGTTCTTATTAAGGAGTTGGACTATAATAATATCCCGGATGAAACATTTACATCGATGGAAGTTTCAGTGGTCTGGAAGCTTCAGAGCGCACTCATATGCCGCAATGCTCGCACATTCTGGGCTCAACCGGATTACATAATTCCGCTTAAGTCCTGTCCTGCTCCCACTTAGCCCCATGCTACCCGCAACAATAAGGAAACAACAGCAACAACTACAGCAGCGGCCACTTCATGGAGCCTACGTCCACTCCATGGCTAATTAAGTTATTGGCTGCACGTTGGCAACTTGTTGCGGCATTTGGTTGACATTCGAGTGCAATTGACTTAATCCCCAGTAAGCTGTGGCCCGATGTTGTTGCCGCCAGACTGCAGAGTGCAGCTGCAGCTGCCACTGCCCCTGCCCCTGCCCTGCCCCTCCCACTGCCCCAAAGGTGCACTATTGTGCACTCGCCTTATTTGTACCGACAACACAACAGCAGCAGCAACATCCAGCGGCAGCAACTGCAACAGCGACAACAGTTGCCACTGCAACAGCAACATGAGCCAGTGGATCCACTGCGTTGGCGGTTTCCCTCCGCTTTTCCCCTCCTTTCCGGCCTTGTATGTTAATTTGTTTTGGGATCTCCTCAGCAGCGTCTAGTTGGGCGCGTGTCATCATTAACGTGGCCAACATACCCGCGAGTCCCCTTTTCCCGCTCCGCCATTGTTGCCTGCCCTTTCACATTGTTCCTTGGCCAAGAGAGACCTCAACAATGGCAGTTGGCTTAATGGAAAGGCTAACACCCGCGGCAACAACAAATGGCACGGGATCAGGGAGTAGAAGAATCGACAGTTGCTACTGACCCAAAAATAATAGGTATACACATCTAAAACTAAGGAGGGGCTGGCTGGGAAAAGAGCTACAACAAAAATACTTGGCAAGTTTTTTTAAATAAGAAAGATAATCAGTAGTCAAAAACAAAAGTTTATAATAAAACTTTAGGGTACTTATAATTCGTTAGAGCTTGTGATAGACATGGAACGAGGATTTCGTTAAAGTAATATACTCTTTTAATAGCATATACTGTATATATAAATAATTATGCGAGCAAGAAATAAAGTCACTTTTTTAAACCACACATCACCTCATCAGTGGTTTTTATTCGAGCAACCTCTCCCACATTTGATAAATCGGCGAGCCCGCAGCTTTAAATTAAGGCAAATTAATGGCTATTCGCGGCCAAGAGCTGAAATCAATGGGAACTAGTTGGCCGACTGAAATCTGGGCCAGCAGAGGAGAAATAGAGAATAATATCGGCGAATATGTCGAACGGATCTTCCCAAGCTGCCGCCGGCGCTTTGATTAAGCGCTGTGACATTTCTATCGCTTGCTGCAGATAAAGGGGAAAAAACACAGAAATTGAAATTGAAATTAATGCCAGATTGATGGCAATCGCTGGACGACATCGCTTGTCGTTCCATATTAATGGACACCGAGAGCGCCTGAGATTATCTGGCCATAGCCTTTGATCATTGGGAGCATGCAATGGAGTGCTGCTCCTCAAAGTGATTTTATCATAAAATAAAGCGAAGCGCATAACATTTGTAAACTAATTGCAATGCCGCACTGCAGCGACAACTGCAAGTCTGGCTGCATTTGCATTTGGCAGATACTTATATTACAGTGAGAGATTTTCGAACGACATGTGACAATGATGGCTTCATCAAACTTCAATTAGGATGTTAAAAAATGAATTCTGTGTACATGCTCCCCAACAGACAGGCTAAAATGTGCTTTTCAAATTAGAACTAAATTGTAGTGCATACAATTTGCAACTAATTGCACTGCCGGACTGCAACTGACAACTGCATGCATCTGTCTGCATTTGGAAGATACTTTTGTGGGAGCGAGAGATTATCGGACGACAGGTGACAACGACAGCTTCATTATAATGCAATTAGTGGGGTTTATGGCAAAATTAATTTTTAATACCACGCGCAGCGAAAACTGCAAGTGACAGGAGTCACATGAGAGGACACAAAGGACACCCACACGGGACCCACACAAAGTACCCCCCTTCAAGCTCAACTTTAGCTCAACTGACAGCCTGCACTTGTCCGCCCCAGACTCTCGGGTCCCAACTCCGGCACATATGTATGCACAGATACGTACGGTTAGTATACGTCTCCAGTTGGAGTTGTTGGAGTGCGTGTGTTATTCAATATAACAGCATGTTGAACAGCACTAACAACAAGCAACTGCAGCGACTTCGAGGCACGCTGCAAAATCTAACGAATATGTAAACGATATGCTAGAAAAATGTCAGTCAAACTGTCGCTTCCAACACACGCGCAGCAGCAACATGCACGGCAGCAACAACATTTAGTCACTTGATGCTTATATTGAAAATTGTTCTCTGCGTTGCATTTTGCAGTAGTTGCATCCGACGTGCACGGCTACGTTGCAGTGAAAGAAAGGCGGTCAAATTAAGGCTATTTAAGCACAACAAAATGTACCTGGCTCAAATATATTTATAAAACTAAAGCAAATTACTTGTGGAAGGTATTTTCAGTAGGTACGGAACAGTTCCTTTCAAACGAATCATCATTTAACATATGTAAGGACTGCACAATATGGTTTGCACAATATAAGATTTAAAAGAACACTTAATTTAGTCCATTTTGCTTATTTCATGTTTTACTTTTGCTCTTCGTTCAAGATTAAGCTATAAATAACGTATTCGTTGGTTTACTTTCGATTTTCTCCCAGTGCAGCCGCAGTTCACCTCAGTTTTGATCAGACTTACGGCCAGAACCAGCTGTAGTCGCAGCTCTGGGGCAGGCAGACGACGGGCAGAATGAAAAAAATAACGAAAAAATAAACACATTTATGGAAATTTATTCATAGAACTTATGAAACCGATAGACAACAGCAACAACAACAAATCCAGGGAAAAAACGGCCGTCTGACGGGGTCCCACAAGTCGGCCTGCCGCCCCCTCAGCCGTTGGAGCCATTTTGCACCGTTGGTGGCTTGTGAGCCTGGTTTAGTTTCGCCGAACAGTTGTCAGTTTTTACTCTTTTTTCCAGTGATTTTTTAGTACCGTTCGTGCGCCACAGCCTTGGGCTTTGGGCTTTGGGCGGGGGGAGCTTTGTGCAACGGGAGGCGTTGAAATGATTGCCACAGCATGTTATATTTACTATATAAATATGCGCACGAGCAACAAAGAGATTGTTTTTATCTGTCTCGGAATTGTTTGCTCAATGAAAGTGCCGTACAAATAAAGAGCGTGGTGCGAGATGCAATTTGTTGATGATTCCATAAAGGGAAACGCGCCAGAAAAAAGGAAAATTCGTTGCACAGTGTTTAAAAAACCCCCGAAAATCAGTCTAATAATAATTGTGTTTCAGTCAAAAATCATACAACCTGATGATTTCGTTAATTTCATACAGATGTTGCATTAAGTTAAAGCTATGTTTACAGCAGTTGAAGCATAACTGGCTACGATTCCATAGATAATCTTAGCTCGAAATCACGAGCTATAATAAAAGCTAATTAACTCAGTTATAAGCCTTAATTATTCCGCAAAGTCTAAAAATATGCTGCAATCGTTTAATCAAACAGAGCCCGATAGAGATCTCTAATTTGATAATCCATAGGATTTTCCGCTTCTCATTACACACCTGAAACATTAAAACATTCTTGTAATTTTTTTTCTTTGCACTAGCAATTAAATTAATTGTTACTTGAATACTTTGACGCCATTCAGCGGCACATCATTATTACCCGACTACACGGATACGCCACTTCTTGTTGCTGTGTGTGTGGCGAACATATTCATATGCCAGATGAGAGAAAACTAAAAAATATGCGCGAAATTGTGAGCGAGAAATGATTTATGGCCATTGCCAATTGCAGCTGAGCGAGCGAGAGCGGAGATGTTGCGGGGGACAGAGAATTGGGAGAATTGGGGAATGGCAGCTCTCCATCTCGCTCGCTCTGTGCATAGCCCTCGCGCTCCTTCTCTTTCTTATCTGCCATCGCTGCATCTGCGTGTGCTAATTATTTCATATGTTCTGCGGCTCTCTCGCTCTAATTCAACCTCCGTCCCTCTCCCTCCATAAACTAGGTGCAATTTCGCGAGTTTCCCGGTTTCATTTTGTATATTTGGTGTTTGGCGAACAACTTGTTTGATTACTGAGGCAATGAAACGTTTGAACCACGATTACGAATCGCGATTTCCGATTACCCGGTGCTAATTTGCTTTGTAAAACGACGACGAGCGAGCCTAGAAAGATTTATGAACTGCTTTAATGATCTAATTAAATTGCAACTAGCCGTGAATATCATTCGACGATGCCCCTCCATCGCAGTGGTATTATTTGTTGCCATTAATCATCCGACTGCTGGTGCTCGCTTCTATGGGAATTATTCTGATTCAGGTTCAGCTTTGCGATTACATTGAATTATCGACACGCGCTTATGCTAATTAATTTGATTATCAACTATTATCTCTTCGACGACTTGGCATTTCATTGTTTTAGGCCGTTCGAAATGAATCTTTATGGTTGCTGTATTTCATTTCATTGATTGCGGCTTATTGTGTGTGAGAGTAAACTGGAATATGACGACAATTGAAATATTTTTGCAGCTCTGAAAACAAGAGCTTTTAGGTATGCAAATTTTATATGAGTAATTAATTTAATGGAAGCTTACAGGGAAATCAATTGACTTAGATATAAAGCAGATTTATATAATTTTTTGAAATCTATTTGTCAGAAATATAATTTTTTAAAAACAATTTGCTTAAGAAATGCTCAATTTACCCCTGATCAAGGTTGTTAAAATATTTATAAATATTTACCTTAGTTTTCTGTGATTGTTTTCGTGTCTTTTCTATCGATATAAAGTTGTTGTGTAAAAGTCGGTGCCCAAAATATATATTATGTATATTTATATTCATTCGTGTGTACTTTGCTCAGCTAAAATATTCATTGATGTTCATCGCTCACTTTATATACACAGTGTTGTTCTGATACTTCGAATTTCCCGTTTAATATATAATATCACAATTTCTTTTTTAAAAACGTAGACGTTTTGTAAGATTTACACTTAAATTACTGCTTAAACATTTCTATTTAATGCCGTTAAAATATATGTACAATCACAATTCGGGCGAGCTAAGCATATTTGTGTGGAAACGATGCGAATGTTTTGAGATTGAGATTGGGTAAATGTTTATGTTTGTATTGATATTTGTATGCTGGGCTTTACACTCGGCTGGGCTGGTTTTTGTATTGCGGCTGCTGATGGCAAACTTTTTGAATTTCTTTAGGTTTTGCAAACGATACAGAAGCAAAATTAATAGAATCCGCGCCACCACGATGGCAATAAGAACGATAAACGAAAGGACGAGAAGATGCAAACGCAAATAATTTCGATGTTGGCGCGACGCTCTGCGTTTTCTACCCATAAACCCAGAGGTATCCGTATCTCCGCTGGCTTTCATACAGGTCAGAATCGGATTCAATTTGGCGCGGACCGTCCTCCTGGCCTTATCAGCATGGATTTCTTATCGCCGGAGCCCAGAGAACGAGCCGAACGAAAATTGGCAATCTTGGCTTGGTGTCGTCTCCTTCGCAGCCGGAAAGTTCAATGTTGCTGCCGGGCTATCAGATAAGCCCTATATTTGGTCTGAGGGTCCGTGTTGCACCCACAAATTATGAAAGAAATCAAATTCGTGCTTTACGATTGATGCTGCCAACACCCGCGATTTTCGGCGAATTTTCCATGTCATTTTCAGGCGGCTCCACCACGCGGCACTTGGCGCCCGCTCATTTTGCGCCAAAATATTTGCGAAAAGGTCGCTTATGTCACTATTATCTCGTTCCTGTTCCTATGCTCCCTCTTGTTGTTTCTCTTGCCTCTTGGTGGGGCCCTCGTCCTGAGCAGGCAGCACAAGTGAACGAGAAACCATCGACTTTTCGAATTTATTTTTATACTTCTTCAAAATTTCTTTATCTTATTCTTTGCGGGACCGCTGGAGTGTATTTCTATGTCCGATATTTGGGAACTGGGAATGAACCGAACGGAACTAAACGCGTGAAACGACGGCAAAACCGAAAGCAAAGTGCGAATCGAGCGGCGGCGGCACGTCTATTTGGCACGTCCATTCATTCACAACTGAACCGCCAGTGAATCACAATGAGCCCGGCTCGTAAACATCGCATGTTGCCAATGGCTGTCGCCTGCAACATGTTGCTGCCGCGGAGCAACATCAATAGCAGCAGCAGCAACACGGCCACCATCGAAAATGATAAATGGCGGCATTGTTTTTGTGCAAACACACACTCTCGCCGGCTGGAGAACGCAAACAGTGCGGGATGGGCAACTAGTAGCTCGTTCGGTAGTTTTTACGCTTTTTCGGGAATCGTATGTATTTCTTACACTGAAAGTGATTTAAACAAGCTAATTGCAGATATTTATTGTCCAATTTCACGTTTTTCCAGCACAATATTTAGGCTGTTCTAAAACTTTTGTAATAATACAAGTTAAAAAGTTGTTTGCTCATTCTAAGCCGTAATATTAAAAGCATGCTGAAAATAATTATGGATACAATATTGTCCTCCGACATAATTGTAACACATATTCAATAATAAGATTTACAGAACAAAAACTTGAATACTAAATAAAATGATTTTGCAGCTTAAGATGTTGGTGAATTTAATTAGAATTTATTTATAAAACATTTCTGGTTTATGGCATATTGCGCTCTTTATCCAGATCCAAAAATTGCTATTATAAATTTCCGCGCACTGTGTTCTCTAGCAACATTTGTTGCCGCGCTTTGGCCAACTTGTTGGCAAAAATGCTGCCGACGAGCAGTGAAGTAATATTCGAAATAATTATTACATTCAAATAGCAGAAGTACAACTTGACTGGACATTTATAAACGGGCATAAATTAAATACACATTGAAAGCAATAAAAAATATGTAAATCGATAACTAAATGCTGTGGAATATAAATGATAACTAAATAATTGAGAGCTTTGCACAAGGGAAATTTAAATTTTGGATAGAAATTCTTTGTCGTTTTTAGATTGGCGCTTTGATTTTTAGCCGATAATTGCTGCCATGAATATATAATAATTCAGCAGCCACCAAGGGTGAGGAGCTGTGTTTGCTTAGTAGCCAGGGAACCCTTTTTATATTTTTTTGTTTATGGGAACAGGCTGAACTTGAATTTCTGTTTCTTTGGGCTACATACAGCAACAACATAATCACAAAAATTACCGCCATGCATATGAAATACAAATATCCCCCTCTCGGAAATCCCCCCTCGAAGAGCACGCACACAAAAAATAAATAAAAAGCGGAGAAATAAGATTTATGGCTTTTGGCGGCGCAATTGTTGTTGCCGCTTCTATACAGTAAAAAGTTGAGCCGCAATTGAAAGTGAAAAGCGTGGAAACGGGGAAGTCATCGAGAGTGTCGTCGGTCAGTGAACGCCGACGGCCAAGGACCTCTCTTCCCCCTCCTTTCCCTAAGTCAGCGGTATGGCTTCATTACGCCCTGAGGTCCTGTGTTTCTCCTGCATTCAAATCTATACTGATTCTCAATATCCCTTTGCATATATTTAAGCGCTAATTGCGTGAAGCCATAAATCTAAAGTCTGTGTTTTATTCAGACAGAGATGGCACGAAGCCGAGCAGGCCAGACAAAGACGGCGCGATGGAGTTGATAACTTCATTTAATGCATTTGCAACGCACCAACTAGCAACAGTTGTTGTTGTCCATCTTTTCTCGTTTTCTTTTTTTATTTTTTGGTTAAAAATCTTTGATCTGCCTGGTGCTAAAAGTTCGCGCAGATGCCAGAAAAAGGGGGTTACGAGTATGTCCTATTTATAAGTCCGATTACAAAAAAGGCATTTTAAAGATAAATTATTGGGTTTTATTTTAAATTAATTAAAAAAAGTAAGAGTAAGTAAGTAAGCAACGGTAGATTTTTATAACAGTAAGATAAAATGTTCGAGACGGCTAAAATTCAATATCGGAGAAAAATCACTACCATCTTAAATTATATATCCTCGCTCCTGTTTCACTCGCGTTAATTTAATTTATTTCGGCATCTGTTTCGAGCACATTTAACATCCATTAAGCGCGGCAATTCTCCTGATTGCACGGCACCCTAGTACACAGCCCATCCCTAATGCACTTCCTCACCCCCGAAAGGACACCCTCATAGTGCACATCATCCTGACCCCTGCTCAGAGCATCGCCGTTCAATCAGGGCCACTTTGAAGCGGGACGTCATTAGCCATATCCTGGATTCAAGAAGAACTGCCAGGCACAATGGCCAACGACGTATCAAAAACAATTTTCGCCGCAAAATCCGTTGAATTGAAATTTCAACTTAGGGAAAAGGGACCACTCCCACTGCCACCCTCTTCAAAAGCCGAACACCCTCCGCCGACCCACTGATGTCAGGCCAAAAGCTGACAAAGACGAAAATCAAAAACGTTACGTGGTCCTGGCAGCTTCCACTTCAGGCCAGGACTCGAAATTAGAGCCTCCCATGCAACTGCTAATGGGAGCACACGCATAGTGCCTCCAACTAAAACACGCGCACACATGTCCACTTTTACAGTCAGGGGCAGGCAAATACTGATGAACAACAAAAATCAGATATCAGCTAGGAAAATTAAACTGAAGATTACTAAAAGCCATGAAACCATTTGTAACATTAATTAGTTTAAATACCAATACTTGCTAATAGACTCTTGTAGAGATATGTTCTAGGAATCCTACATAATGATATGATATAAAGCACATGATTTAATCCCATTTTAATTTAATTTTTATTAATTTATTGGTGAATCAGTGGCTAGATTTCTAACTATGGGCTCCTGCCTGTGGAAATCCCGCATCCCGCTCGGAGCGATGGGCGGGGAGCCAGCGAGTTGACTGGCAAAAGATATTCCAAACTCCCATATCCGATCCGCACACACACTCGCACGCGAGCGCACACACACACACACACACACACCCATACAATCGCACATTCCGGCTCGCATTCGCATATGAGTATTGAACGACGAAATGAAACGCACATAAATCAAAATGGCCGGACAGCGGACCCAGCGACGGGTCGTCGGTCGACGGTCGACGGTCGTCGGTCGTCGGTCGAGAAGGACGCTCGCTCTCCGTTTTAGACTGACAGGCGGACTCCGTGCCGGGAACAGGGGCGGCGGACGAGGGGAAAACTCCGGGGACGGGGAAACTTTGGGCGTACGGGAAATGAAACTGAAAAGGGAAAGGAAACGGCATTTTGCTGCCGCTGCCGCTGCTGCTGCTGCTGCTGCCTCTGCTAACGGTTTGGCGGTTGTGTAGAAGGGGGTAGAGGGGAGGGCTGCCCAAAGGGGGTGGCGAGTCGAGGGGGTGGGCCAGGAGGCAGGGCGCTGGCGGAGGGGGTGGTGCGGGCATGGCTGAGTGCGCGCTGCTGAACAAATGAAATGACGACGGGTTGACTGCCTGTCAAAAGAACAAACATGGGCGCACAAGCCTCTGTAGCCGCCGCTGCCTCAGTCGGCGTCGACGCGCGTCCGCGGCCGACGTCGCTGCCTTCCACTGGACAAAAATGGGCTTGCTTACCTTGAATTTAGTTTAATAACAGTACCTATAAAAATATTCAACAAACGAAAATTCAACAAACGTATTAAGTTAAATTGTGCCTATTTTTGCAGAAAATCGATTCAAACTTGTTTCCCTCACGCACTGCTTTATTTGCACTCCCATAACTTTCGCTAAGGAAAGAGTATTAAATATAATATCCATCAATAAATATAATTTGTTTATAGGCTCGCCCGAATACTTTTCGTCCAGTGCAGTCGCCATAGGAAATCAAATGAAATGAAATGCACACATGACGAAACAAAAGCCAAAAAACACAAAACACCAAACCGAAACCCGAAAACAACAGAAGCAGCAGAAGCGGCCGAAACAAAAAATTATCAACCGAAAGGCCGCTGGCAACAAACAACGAAAGCAAAACAAAAGCTCGCAAATAAGCAAAGAGGAAGGAGCCGGGAGAAGCCATCATTGTAATCATCACCAGCAGAGGGTTAAGGGTCCTGCCAGTGGGGGAGTATCGGAGTGGGGGGCTGGGGACTTGGGCGCAGGAAGAGCTGGAAGAGCTGGAAAGAAGCAGCGGCAACAGGAACGGAACAGCGGGCATCCAATCCTGACAGGCCCTGTCTGTCGGTGTCTGCGTCTGTGTCTGTGTGAGTGGGAGTTGGCCGAAGGACGAAAAGGGGCGGAAGGCCTTGTGTTGGTCACATTTGCGGCTTCGTCCTTTACGCGCTGAATAATAATTAATGCTAATAGAATTGTTAGGAAATTGGAACATTTACTAAGTACTAGAGTGCGATTTTATTTTAAGAAGATTTGGTAATAGAGTTGTAATACCATTAATAAATGATTGCATTTTCGCACAATAATTCCTAATTGGTATATTTCTTACCACAACAATTTCCATTGCCAAGGCTGGGCGACAACTAGCAACCATTTGGCATCCTTACCCAAAAATGGGAACATAAGTCAACCAAGATGATTACACCGAATTATGAGCCGCACCTGTCATCGAATCGGGCACAAACCCCTCTTCGAATAATTTCCCCCGAAAATGAAACAAATAATAGAGAAAGAATGAGGAAAACACCGTCGAACACGCCCCCGTTTTAGGTCCGAAAACATCAAGTGGAAATTGAAATGTTTCCATTGTAACGAATATCAATTTCGACATTTTCCAAAGACAGCAAGGAAACACAAAAAGAGAACAGCCGAAGGACATGACAAGAAGGGGCTGGACATGCTGCCCTGTCCTGTCCCACTTCTCGATCCTGTTTTCCCTGCTGGTGTTGGCAACGCACATGTTCCAATCTAGGCGCAAAAAACTGTACATGAAATGATTACCCGAACCGAAGCGAACCGAACCGAACCGGGAAAAAATAGAATAGAATTTCAATTTTAGAAACGTGTTTCCGAGGGCGAAAAAAACAGCTTCAAAACACGAAATGGAAATTTTTACCGAAACTAGAGACGACGCCTTGACTTGTCTTTGCCGGATTTTTGGACACTTTCTAGTGCGTGTGTATCGGGAAAAACACCCCCGAAAGGCAGGAACGGAAACTGAAACAT